CTCCAGATCTGGGTGAGATACTAGGATGGTGACAGCAGCAGCGCAATCCCAGAAAGGCGTGATCGGGGACTCGAATCAGCGACGAGGAACAAATGTTGAGGTAGCCAGGTGGTTGGAAAGAAAACGTGTGAACTGCCTTGCAGTTGACATGTTTTTGTAGATGAAATGGTACAATGTTCGCCAGAACAGGGAGCCAGGGGATCTGTGTTGGTCTCAAGTGTTCCGGTTACGATGCGCATCGCGTTTTTCAACTGTGCATCAAGCAGTTCAGTGTGTGTGCGAGCTCCCGGACCAGGCCGGAGTGCAGTGGCTCTGCCACAGAGTAGATCGGTGAGAAGGCGGCAGGTCGCGGCACATCGGCTCAGGCACCCACAGGTCGTTCCTACAAGTTTCTGTAGCAGGGCGATTCTTGATTTTGTACAGATCTGCTTTATATATATATGTTGCACCGTACATAACCAGCCGTGCTAATCGAAGGTCCTGGAAATATGGGGCATGAAGGTGAGGCTTCTGTCCACAATAACCTCTAGAGTACATATCTTGGAGTGGGGTCATAGCGCACTGGGCTTCCACAGAAGGACACATCAAGGGTGGCATCTGCTGCATGATTGTTCAGATCGAAAGTACTAGTCATGATTTATAACAGTAGTCCCATGATTAAGAGTGACATCGGGTTAACGTTTTTTGCGGTTAACATTTCGCCTCCCATAGGACCCCCATGGTTTCAACTAACATCAAAATTGTTGACTAAGGTTAACATTGATGACTAACCTTAACATTGATGACTAATGATAACATGTTTACGCTATTCACGCGGGCGCCAATTTCGGCCAATCAGAGTGCTCGTAAGAGGAGCTGAGCCATTCTCTCAGCCAATCAGCAACGCCCATTAATGAGCGTTTAGACCTTGCCTGGGCTTTATTAAACATTGTTTTCTGTTTTCCCAGTGGAAACAGCACTCGTGTAGACTTCGATTAACACTTATTTCATTTAATAGTAGTTTTCGTGGAACGGTTTAAAAACGTTAACCGAGGGACTACCATACTGGACTTATATAGTCCATGAAATTCCTTTACTTGAGCGCAGGCAAGATGTCAAATCAGCATTTCAAAGGATCTCCCCATTAATAGCGTTCTTCATGTTCATCTGATTTTACAAAATGACAAGAGCAACTCAAATACAGTTAAAACATTTTAAGAGGTTCTAATTTGATATCTCAAAAAGCAATAAATCGTATCTGAGCAAACAATTATATTCCAACCTGAAAACTCATTTACGGATAGAATGCTCCTGCGATTCACATTCAGACGGTGATTTATGTACTGTACGTGAAATCAATACCATTTATTTTAAAAAAATCAATGTTAGAAACTTTAGTTGTCTGACCTAAATCAGAAATATCTTACTTTGTTCTGTACATAATATATGGTTTTAATACAGTTCAACATAATCATAAATATTTTTCGATTTAAAGCTTTCGTGACTGCAGGGATTCATCTTCTTGGTTCTTTCGGTAAAGTCACGTAGAATGGAAATAATAAAATAATAAAAATAAACATAATAAAATAATTCTCACGACGTTTTGGCCACAACGCAAGTAGCCGTCCTCAGGTGGAGAACAGGTCTGTCGAGGAGACTCTGGCCAAAACGTCGTGAGAATTATTTTATTATGTTTTATTTTTATTATTTTATTATTTCCATTCTACGTGACTTTACCGAAAGAACCAAGAAGATAATCATAAATAGTTTATGATAATAAATGTCCAGCCCTTTGTCAATCCACTGCTAGATGAAGGCTACCCTATGCCATGTCAGTTACGGGGGTCATGTGACTATACTTCATGCTCGTCCGTGCAGGGTGGGTAACGTTTTGGGGAATGTAAGGCAAAAACCTGCTCATATACCGTATCACTTTCCACAGTTGTTAGGGTGCCGAAGTGGCAAGATATTATCTCCCTAAACCGGTATGCAGGAGGTTGTGGATTTTTCTCCGGGCCCTGTGGTTTTTCCCTCCACATTTAGAATCAAAGTGCGTTTAAAGAATTTGGCGACTATAAATGTAAACGTGATAAGCCACTTCGTTGAGCAATCATTTGTGGCCAGGTCGCTTCTGATAAAGAGCTAATAAGCTCAGTGGGCCTTACATGGTAAAAACCAAAATAGTTCATAAAATGGCTGGGAACTGAACTCAGGCTACTGGGCTCAGAGTACAGTGTCCTAACCACCACCGCTGTCCCCCCACCCCGTCCTCTTCTGTTCGAGTGATAAGGAATTGTATTTCAGTTCAAGATTGTAACACATCACCCCATACGCTGGGTGGCAGGGATGGTTACCGTCCTTGACCTGTAATCGGAGGTTGCGAGTTTAAATCTCCCATCGGGTTCACTTCATCTATCACTTGTTTTTGGGTCGATAAAATAGTGCCATTTTGTGGGAAGTTAACAATGGTCATACCCCCATAAAAAATTGCCCTCCCGATCCTCTGCGTAGGAATGTGGAACTTCTCCCTGTTATCTCCCAACCTATGTAGATGAGCGCTGCCTATTTACTCGTGTGAGCAGAGAGGAAGAAGCTTGGCTTCGTTGCATTTGTCTGTTCCTTTTGTAGCACAGATTGCAGGCAGGGTTTCACTCTGAACAAATATGAAGATCGTTTTTTTTACAAAACAAAACTTGTTAAAATATATGTAATTTATTTTTCATGAAATAAGAAAACATTTTATGAAATAATTATTTAATAATTGTAACTACTGTATTTTAATTGTGTTATTAGTGTTGTGTGGTCATGAAATGACGACGTTACCATCTGGAACTATCACGGCGAGCAGAGCACCACCTTGTGTCAGAGCTTTGAGAAGGTGACGTCACAGAGCTACCCTCTGAATTAATCTCAATTTCTCTTTGTACGCACAAGTAGGCCCACTGTGTTTGCTCTCTGCAAAGAGTTTTTGTTGTTGTCACGTGTCAATCAAAGTTAAAACATTTGAGCGAATTTAGAGCAGGATTATTGTGAAACTGAGGATTAAGCGGGCAGCCGAGGTGGAGTGCCTAATCTTGGCAGCAGACAGTTTCACATGTAGTAACATGTGCAGTACAGTAGTAACATGTACAGTAGTAACATGTACAGTAGTAACATTCTGCGCACACCTTCCCGGTGTTGGCGGTCTGTAGGAGCTACCACTACGTACACTCACGAATACCAGTCCGGCGGGTGTCGCGAATCGGGAATCGGTATGCGTTTAGTAACTCGTGAATAAGGGAAACTCGTGAATACAGAACCGGCGCATAACGAGTTTACTGTATTTGTTTTACCCAAAAAATCAGCCTCGCTGAGTCTCAAGGCTCTTTTTCAGGGAGAGTCCTGCCAAGTTTTCACAGGAGGGGAGGGGGCAGTGGCGGCTCCTGCAAAATCTCTCAGGGGGGGCAAATGTCTGGATGATTGATAAGGATAAGGTCCACCAATGCAATGGATAAATTAACAGATTAAGCATGTAAAAGCAACTTCACTTCTTTAATATTAATGAAAAATAAAGTGACTCTTACAATACATCTTGTTTGTTTCTATACTCACTATTAAAACAAACCACTCAAGTTTATTTTATTAAAGATTCCACTAGGTGGCCACAAATTATATTGTTGGATGAAACGTGCTTACGTATGATGACGTAAGCACGTATGATGACGTAAGCACGTTAGTGCATGCCCTCCCGGAAGCCATAGAGAATGCATTGGAGCGCCCCCGGTCGAAAAAAAACATCTTTCAATGTAAGTCTATGGGGCCACTCGGGGCGATTCTCAGCCGGAGTGAAATCGCCCAAAAAGAGGCGGTACTCCACAGAACGTGACATGACGCTGATTGGACTATATCCAGAGGCTGACAGTGACGGCTAGCGTGACTCTGTGGTTCAATGACATTGGTGGTGCGTCGCCCAATCGCCCTAATGAAGAAACCGCACCTGGGAGGGGGGGCAACGTTGCTGCCGTGTATTAATCCCAACCAACTAATTCTCAGGTCGTTATTCAGTATTGCAATATTTGGCCACTAACATTTACAATTGTATGGTTGTTGTTGTTGTTTTTTAGCAGAGGGCAGAAATGGGAGAACCCGGAGGAAGCCCGTGGGGAACAGGGGGGGGGATATACAAACTCTGCACAAAAAGGCGCCCGAGTTGCTCAACATATTGACCCCTTGCGCAGGCACCTCTCCATTGGATGTCGGTCTGGTTTTGACTGGAGTTCAAGATTATTCCCCTCACCTACAACAGGACTCTCATTGATGCTGCTCCCTCACATGTACAATACAGGACCTTCCCCCCGTCCAAGCGTTCCAACAAGAGTACTTCGGTGTTCCGAGTCTGCATACGAGGACGACGATAGTGGGTGACCTGGCCGTCTCCTCGTATGGCCCCCAGGATGTGTGATTCACTTCCACTGACTCCCCACCTCACTTTATTCAAATCATGCGCTAAGACGCCACTTAATTTTTAAGGTTTTTTTTAATATGTATTGAATAATTTAATTTGGGATAGGATCTGACCCCTGTGATCCTGCGTGTGTGTCTGTGTGTATATTGTAAGCGATAGTGTAGCAGGTTATCGGGCTGTCCTACAAACACAGTGACCCAAGTTCCATTCCCAATTTTATAAACCGGTCCTGGGCCTCCCCTAGGTCGACTCAACCTTAAATGAGTACCTGGTGCGGTGTGTAAACATCGCCACGAGGGAGACAAAGGCAGCCGGGCGTTGTGCTGGCCATCCACCCTCTCCTGTGCCCTGCTAGCCTTCATAGGTGCCACTCACTAACACCACTTGCCTCTCGAGTCTGGTAAAGGCTATAGGGCGATCTTTGTCTTTTAAATTTTGTACAGTGCCCTGTGATATCCGAGTGAAAGGTGCTTTCGAAGTGTCAATTATTACATGATTGTCGCTGTGATGCACGAGTGTTAACACTGCATCACCCCATCACCCTTGTAATGTGACCATGTGCGCATTCCTCCCCCACCTCGTGACGTTGTTCTGCCGCCTCCTCCCCTCGTCCAGATTGTCGCAGCTCGTCGCGGCTTCGGGTATGTATCCATATTCCAGAAACGAGTTGTAGACAGCCGACGCGATGATGGCGACGCCGTCCCTCACGCGCAGCAAGAAGTCGTAATCCCACACGTCGAAGGAGACAGACAGCAGGCCCACGGGGAACTTCTTGGGAACTTCATCTTCGACCCCGTAGCTGAGGCCCGGAGCAACCCACACGGTGCCAGGTGCGGTGAGGCCCACACGCTCCGCGATGCCGAATAGGTGCATGGCCTCCAGGCGAGAGCAGTACAGGAGATTCACCTTGGTAGTGACCTTGGGAGAGTCGGGGGGGGCGGCACACGCACGCGTGGGGAAAATAAGTTACAGCCGGCAGCCATAGATAGCGCTTCACATGACGCTGGGCTCATTTCTAACAAACAAATTTTAAAAAACTTTCCGTAAAAAAACACGGGAGGAGGAACGGACGCTGAATGCAAAAGTGGAAAAATCAACGGCTCGCTCTTCCCCCTCTCTCTCCTGCGTGCAGACTGCAGTCGCCAACTACTGACCACGAACTGCTTAACTTCGCACTCCTGCAAATACAAACTGGAAGGTCGTATCGGAATATCAACCATCTCTCGGGAGATGGTTCAATCCAGACCCTGGCGCCTGCCGTATATTTGGATTTTGCATGTTCTCCTCGTTGTCATGTGGATTTTTCTCCAGGTCCTGCAGTTTTTCCCCCCAACATTTCGAATAAACATGTGCCGAAGAGTATTTGGCTGCTATACATTTCCACAAAAGCCACTTCGTTGAGCTATTAATTGTGATAGCCAGGTTGCTTCTGAAAAAGAGCTATACAAGTTCAGCGGCCCTTACCTGGTCAAATATAACATAGTCATAGTCTAATGTGGGTAGAGCGCACATCAACACAAGGGGCCCCCACTCTCTCCAGCAAAGTTTCATTAAGGCAGTCGTGTAGGCATGGGATGTGGCATTACAGCACACCTGCTTGTTTTCCGTCTAAACTGTCATCCAAGCACGTATGCCTTCTAATGAGTCGGCGATATGTTGGATGAAATCTGCTAGTCCCCTACATTTGGAGAACACAGTGATCCGTTTTAATGTCGACTCAAGCAATTTACTGTGTTGTCTTCAGAACTTTATGTTCGCGGCTGAATTGATTTAACATTTCTTTCACCCGAGGAACCGAATTCGGAAATATATCATTTATGAATCTGTGCCCTGCTATGGATTAGCCTTCCCGGACATCCTAAGCCAAAGTTAGAGAGGTCATTGAAGCTCCGTTTAACGATGCAAATCCAGGGAATCCTAGTGCAGCAGTTGGTTACTACATACGAGCATTTCACAAATGAAAGAGAGTGTGATAATAATATATCCCTCTCAAATTATCTGTAATTCTCTCAAACCATTTTAAACAAAAAATGTAAAACCAATCATAATTGAACACAAATCTGTTGCACAAATACATTCATATTCAAGCATAGATAATGCTTGAGCCCAGACCAATCATTTCACTTGTCGGGACCATCTGAAGGGACTTCACTTTAAGTGGTTTCACTTTCTCTTTGTGGCCAATACCAGTGAATTATTGTGATAACCATTTGAAATGAGTGCGAGGTTATCGAGTAATTTGACGCTCATGATCCGCGTATATAATGGGTACTTCTAGAAAGATGTGTAATAAAGGACTCTTTCTCATATGTCGATCTCCGTTGTCCTTTATTGGGTTCGTAGAATCTCGTTACCACGGCGTCCTCGCTCAGGCCCGCGTCTCTCCAGACGATCACTCCACAGCCACTCTGCTGCTCCGATATGCAGTCTCCTTGCTGCTCAATTATGCAGCCTCACTCCTGCTTCACCTTGCAGCCACACCGCTGCTCCGCTTCCAGCTTCACTGCTGCCCCGTATACAGCTAGCCTCTCACAGCCCGCTAGCTCTCTGCGTCTGACACCGATGGCTGACAGTGTCGACGTCTCCCACCGCGTGGCGACCGCGCCACTCTCTCCGTACTGCCCAGCGTGGCCTCCTCCTGTTTCACTCCGTCTCAACTTCCCCTTCCGGTTCTCCCCCTAAATCATCTCTCCCACGTGACCCTAACTCCGCCCTCTCCCCACGTGACCCAGACTCTGCCCCCCTCAATCCTTGCTCGCATTACAGATGTGCTAGCTTAGGTGGTACCGATTTGTACTCTGGCCCAAGGATTACGAGAAGCTACAAAAGGAGATTCCCACCTGACCTCCCGCACCTCCGATTAGCACAGTTTGCTACCTACAGTGCGAAAGAAGTTCATTGTACGCACATACATACATACGTACCTTCTTTAGCAAGGTTTCAATCTTGGCCTCATCGTCGCCCTTCATGTCGACCGTGATGATCGCTTGGATGTCCCAGCCCACGAAGCTGTTGTCGATGATGCTGCGCAGGCTGCTCACAAAGTCCACGTGCCCCGGGCGGAGGCTCGTGACGATGCTGAACTGATTCCAGTCGTACTCCTCCATGAGCTTCATGATGACACGCGCCTGCTGATGCAACGATGCTCCGAACTGCATGAACAGCGACCCTTTTTCCTGCAGCACAGCACGGTTGTGGGGGGGCTCCTGTTAGGGACCCTTTTGTAATGAGCGCGGCCTCCGTGAGATATATATACACACATAGGGTGGCCCAAAAAAGTCGGAACAATTTGAGGTTATCTCTACTCGGTTCTACTCCTTTCTTTATGACTGCTGATTGTTGGTGTTTCGTTTTTTTGCCACCTTCCTCCTTACCTCTGATCAGCATGGCTGGCTACTTACGGTGCAAAAGAAGTTCAACATACCAACATATACAGACTCACACAGAGACGTATAGAGTCACACAGGAACATATGGACTCACAATGACCCACAGTTTGTTGTCCTTTCCCCGCACCTCCGATCAGCATGGTTGGCTCCATACGATGCAAAATAAGTTCAAAATACATCCACACATTTAATTTAAAATGTAGGCTTTGGCAACCAAAATTATTCATTTTGGTTAGATCACGTGAATTTAATAATAATTGAAATATATAATGCGTATTCCATCCTAGGATCCCAATGCGTCGTTAAACCCGCCACCACCCAACACAGCCAATTAGTAAGGTTTGTCCAATTCGTTGAACTAGTAACGAATTAGCATCTGAACTCGTAACGAATAGGAATGTTTTGTTTACGTGGCAAATGTTACTAATTGGCTGTGTCGAGTGATGCCAGGTTTAACGACACATTTATATTTACGAAATCTAACCCTAAAACCTCGATTACGGATATTTAATTTATTTTAATGCTGGCATTAAAACAAATTAATTGTTTGTTCTTTAGGTTAATATTTTATCTATAACCATTATTAATATATTTGTTGTCTGTCAAATGACATTTGAAATTGGAAAAAATGTCAAAATTGGAGAATCATATTGATGTTCAGAGATAAAAAAAGTCCGAAATTCATCAAGCATTCCTGTAAATGGAGGTAAAGTTTGAACATTTGTTAAAATAAATAAAATAACCCATGTGATTTGTTAAAACAAATATAATAACCCTATGTGTCCTGACATTTGGGCCACTGCACAAATGTTGCACGGGTAATTGCGGACAGGGTGCGTTTTTGCGCTGAACCAGACACACATTCATTGCAAATGTGGGAAGTGGACCAATGTTTTATGAGCCTGTCTGTCATTCCTCCAAGCAAGTGGCAAAATGACAGAAAAAATAACGACACCGAGTGAGCCAAATAAGAGGCATAATTGTGGACTTTTGGGATTCAGTGTGTGCATTTAAGGCCTGTGTGAGGTAGGTGTGTAGCTCAGAAGCCAGAGTGCTGAGCTGGTACGGCCGAGATCCTGGTATTCAAATCTTAGGTTCAAATATCCTGCAATTTAATTGGGTTGTCAAGTGTAGCAACTTTAGGTTATTAGTCCAGTCACCAATGACTGCAAACACACAAACAATACGCTAAATGTTGTTCTGTACATGACTTGACAGAAATCCTAGCTCTGAGAATTAAATATATTTGTTTCACTGTCAAGTCACGAGATAAACATTATTCTCAGTGGCAGCGCTTGTGGGAAAGTGTTTCTCCGTGCTGTGTTGCACCAGAGGTCACTTGAACATATCTCAGAGGTAGCCACTGTTCGAGCACGAAGGGCTGCATTCCTTAAAAAAAATCTATTTTTTATTTTACTAGGTAAGGCCCACTAAACTATTTTTCAGAAGTTACCTGGTCACAAATGATAGCCCAATGAAGTGGCTTATCACGTGGAAATTTATCGCAGCCAAATATTATAAACACATGTTTCTATATGTGTAGGGAAAAACCGGAGGACCCGGAGAAAAATCCACATGACCACAGGGAGAGAGAACATGCAAACTTCAAATATAAAGGCATTAGGGTCGAGATCGAACCCACGACCTTCTGTATACCAGGCAAAGTAATTAACATCTTGAGATATCAGAATGGATGCTTATTGACGCAATCGCCACCAATATATATCACACTACATGCGGTATTCAATCATGAGAATATCCAACCTATTCTGTATGGATTTTAAGGAGGAAAAAAATATCGTATGGCTGTGCCAAAGTACCGCGTGACACTTAATCTGCAATATACAACACTCTCTCAGAAACAGGTCGATATCTTGAGAATCGAGAACGTCTGCAAATAGCACAAATGTACAGCACTTCTGTTGTGATAAAAGGGTGACTGGGCAAGAAGAATCCATTAAACTCCAAGTGTAGAAAGACTTCCAGGCAGAGTAGGCTGCGTTTATATTTCTGGGAATATGACACCAAATGCTAATTACTAAAATAACCATCGAGTCATTCAGTGAACATTCTTTTTACGTACTATCCTTCACAGCCAAACGTTTTAAAGTTTGTTTTTCTTCAATACTGAACAAAACCTCATTCTACAGAGGTGTAGATGTACAGATATACATCTCTAGCTGTGCAATATGCAGGTTTTCTGAACCTGTCTGGAGTTTAACTTAACGCATAGGGTAGATTTATGCCAATATTATTGTCATTAACTCTCCAGGACCTGACACGATTGTCTTTTTTCAAATATGTCATTAAACGTGCCGATATATCGACCAAATTCAGAATAATAGAACTCCACACCGGTGGCTATTTAAGGATTTTCATTACCTGAATTTAACATCGATACATGACGATTCTATCTGGATTTTTACTGCAGTAATAGGTCTTAAGCACATATGCTACTCTTTCAAAGACACATACACACAAGTTCATAGCCTATTCGAAAATCAAAACAATTCTCAACGTGTACTGTCTTAATTTTCCGGTGTTCATTGTGCATAAAAAATTTTGTTAATTGTAAAAAAAAATCCTTACGAAGTGAAATACAGGTAAAAAAAACAGTGCAGGGCTTGACTCCAAAAAACACCGGGACTGTACGAATGTTGAACAAGAGCAATCGCCCGAAACATTTGATGGACCAGAGAAAATAATGTACAATCATGGTTAACTTAAGTGCAGGCCAGGATGAATGACTCCCAATACTTTCAGAGCGTCGGGATATTTAATTAAACTATTTATCATTTCCCCACTTTTATCACATTTAATCTTTTGGGCAGGAGGACCAAGTCGGGTAGGTTCATAGCACTGCACAATATACATATATATAACTTATCAACCCAAGCTATTAGTGCCCTTATACTTGCATTGTCTTTGTGCTGTTCATCTTTTGTCATTCTCTGGTCCAACACTGCTGAGACATGAGCCACGACGAAGGCCAATCAGTTTCAAAGACAATGCAAACATTATCAGAGCATGTTTGTTTGCATGTTTTGCCACAAGCATGTGTGGTTAATGCAGACCTGATGCCTTGCAAAAAGGTATATATTTGGTATTTGAGCATCTTAACACCTGTTTTATTGCCAGAGAGGATAAAAACCTATTCTTATTTTTCATCATTTTGGACACTGGCAAAAAGGTCCCAAAAATAAAATGTAATACATAACGCCTAATAGAATCAACTAAAAAATTATCGGAGCTACACCCCAGGTTTAATTTAACGATGAGCAAGTGATATGAGGGGTTGCAGAGGGAAATGCCAAACAGGAATATTGGGAAAGATGACGGGGGCTGAGAGAATGGCAGTTGTAAGGGAAAGGTTTGTTTGGCAGACAGGACAAGGGAGGCAGTACAGAATCAGAATATTTATTTCTACTGGAGGAAGAATACGATTAGCTATGAAGCTCTTTTTCACAGATGCCCAGTCGGGGCACGGGGCAAGAACGTTAGAACAACAAACAATAAAAAAAAACATGATAGGAGTGCAAAATACAAGAAAGGTAAACAAATCACTCAAACACATACAAATACATCTAAACCATCCCCATCCTACCAGGAAAAGCCCACTGACGTATTAACGTATTGTTCAAAAGTGACCTAGCCATAAATGATAGCTCAACAAAGTGGCTTATCATTGGGCCAGTTTTAGCAGCAAAATAATCTAAATAGTTGAAACGCATGTTTCTAAATGGACAAATGAATGAGTATAAAGTGAACAACGACACAAGTAGTACTAATAAGGCAGACTATAGACACTACTGGTGCGCAGTGTAAATTACATCGGAATACTGTATCTATAATGGAATTGATGTGGTCGAGAAATTGGTCTAGAGCAGGCCGGCCATGTGGCCAGATGACAAAAGTGTCATCTACGTACCTCTTCCATAAGGTCGGGCGTAGAGTGGCAGTCTGGATGGCGTCAGTCTCAAATTTCTCCATGAAAACGTTGGCTACAACCGGAGATAGGGAGGAGCCCATTGGTGTGCCCTCAGTTTGTTTGTAGAAAGTTCCATTCCAGGTGAAGTATGTATTGGTTAAGCAGTGTCTCACCATGGGGGGTACCCCAGTATTCAGTCCTTGATGAACCAAGTCTTCAATGATTGCGATGGTGTCAGGTACAATGTACAAAGTAATATATAGTATCGTAATTGTATAGTGAATATACAGCAGTGTGATATACATTAGGGTGGGTAGAAAAATACATAGTGTAATTTTACAATGTATAAGGTTTAGGGTGGTTTATAGCAATACAGTATGTAATTGTCCTTCTGACAGACCTGTTCTTCACCTGAGGACGGCTGCTTGCATTGTGGCCGAAACGTCGTGATAATTATTTTTATTGTACTTTTTATTATTTTATTATTTCCATTCTACGTGACTACCGAAAGAACAAAGAAGATGAATCCCTGCATTCACAAAAGCTTTAAATCGAAATATAATCACTGATTCGACATCTTTGATTGAACCAATTCAAGCAGTTTTCCTTAAAAGCCCTCTGCTGCGAGACCACCCAGATTGTATGGCTTATCAAAAATCCATAAAGGGACACCCCTTCGTCCTATCGTCTCCACCATTGACTCACCCACCTACAAACTGTCTGAGACCTTACATTATTCACTGGTAAGACCACCTCAGCTGTACTCAACTCAGCTCACGTGGTATCGTTAATTAAGGACATCTCACTATCTCGAGGTGATTTGCTCGTTAGTTCTGATGTGGTCTCTTTGTTTACTAAAG